ACACGCCCCTTTTGCAGGAGTCAACATCATTCCTAACGCTGGAGAAGCTGTTATCTGTCGAAGTCTGAGTTCTTATCTGTTTGTTACGCTTGGCTTTCAGCCACCGAGGTTTTGGTTTCTTGCTAATAAAGTGCTGTGACATTCCAGTTCAGCTTGTCTCGGCATTCATTACTGGACGGAGGAGAACAGATGTGTGTTTTCCCCGACCAGTTTTTGGTCCCAGGAGGTTGCACGGGGTGGGGAGCATGGGGGGGGTGTCACACGCATTGCATTATGTGTGTGTGTGTGCACATGTGCCGGTTTTCGGCACGCGTTGACGAAAAGGTTAGCCCTCACTGTCTTATACCATTCTGGACCAATGGCTGTCCAATTTTTTTTTTAAATCCTCCAATGATGGAGCACCTACAACTTCTAGAGGGAAGCCACTCTACGGGTTAATTATTCTATCAGGAAATTTAGTTCTTGATTGGATCTCTTTTTAATGATCTTCCACCCATTCCTTCTTGTCCTGCCGTCAAACGCTCTGGAGAAGAGGTTGACCCCTTCTTCTCCACGATAGCCTTCATCTTAAAATTTAAGAGGACACACGGATCTTAAATTCATCTGGAGCTTCGATTCACATCAAAACGATACACGAGTGGTGGAGTGAACCCCACAGTTCTTCCCAGTTTTTTTTTCCCCACAAGGCAGTGCTACATTCCAGAAAGAATATTTGATTTTATTACGAAAGGAGTGCGCACTTGAAGAAGGATAAAGGGAAATACTCCAGTGTTGTAAATGTGGAAACAATGACCCGTCAAAATATTTCTTCAGTCGTTTGCCAAGCCCTGCTTTGTCTAGACAATCTGTTTTTTAAAAAATCAGATAAACAACTAGGCAAAACCCTTTAAGATCCACACCACTAAGGTGTGTGTCATGTCTTGGAGAATGAGGTAATGTATTCCTTTCCCCCAGATAAATGCTGGGGTCACGATTGAAGCAACTCTTTTTTTTCACACTTTCTTTCTTTCTTGGCAAATTTGCTGGATTTTGAGGAGTGGTGAATTTTCATGCCATCATCTCGTTTCTGAAGCACTTGCTTACTTTCAGTCCAAAAAAAAAAAGGGGCCTGGTTTAATCCCTAGCCGGAAACCAAAGCAAGACAAAACTCGATTTCCTTTCCTGAGAAAATCAAACAATAATTTCAGTATGAATGAAAATATTTCGAGAGTAGGCAGCGTGGAATGCCAGCATGATAAAAGACACGAAATGAAAGGAATAGAATATTTGGATGGCAGAGAAGCAGATCTAACAGGAGATCTTGGACCATCTCTCCTGAAACTTTCTTTTTTAATTAAATGTGGTAACTGGGTATGTTTGCTTTGATTTCCCCAAACAGAGCAGGTATTGGAAATGAAAGTTTAAGATCATGGTTTATTCCAAATGTAATAATTATGGTTTCCTAGTTTGGCAAAAGAAGAAAATACAATGACGTAATGACTTATATGTGTGCTAGAAGCAAAGGATAGGATAGGATAGGATAGGATAGGATAGGATAGGATAGGATAGGATAGGATAGGATAGGATAATAGAATAGGAATAAAGAGGAGAGGAGAAGAGAAGAGGAGAGGGGAAGGGAAGGGAAGAGAAAGGAAAGGAAGAGAAGAGGACCATGGGACATCTTCAAACAGGAGACCCTATACCATTTCAGACATAATTATCCAATTTCTTCTTTAAAAACTTCCCATGATGGATCACCCACAAACTTCTGGAAGCAAGTTGTCCCACTGATTAATTGTTCTGACTTTCAGGAAATTTCTCCTTAGTTCTAGGTTGCTTCTCTGCTTGATTAGTTTCCATCCATTCCTTCTTGTCCTGCTGTCAGGAGCTTTGGGGGAAAACCTTAATCAGAACAGAGCTGGAAGGGACCTTGGAGGTCTTTTACTCCAACCCCCTGCTCAAACATGAGACCTTATAGCATTTCAGACAAGCAGCTGTACAATCTCTTCTTAAAGGTGTGATGGAGCACCAAACAACTTCTGAATTAACCACTGGTTAATTACTCTCATTGTTAGGAAGTTTCTCCTTAATTCCAGGTTGCTTCCCTCCTCGATTAGTTTCCATCCATTGTTTCTCGTTCTGCCTTCAGGGGCTTTGGAGAATAATTTGACCCCCTCTTCTTTGGGGGCAGCCCCTTAAATACTAGAACACTGGTATCATGTCATCCCTAATCCTTCTTTTCTCCAGACTAGC